TTGTTTGTTTGTTTGTTTGTTTGTTTGTTTGTTTGTTTGTTTGTTTGTTTGTTTGTAAAAAGAAAAAAGTATTAAACTTAGAAACAATGCAGGTCATGTCGAGAATCAGCTGGATGGTTTTAAAACATAAACAACTAAAATAATGTAGAGAAAAACACAAAAACAAGGGGAAAAGTAAAAACGCTGAGTCAGCATTTAGAGATTTTAGTGGATTTATAATCRGCCTGTAAAAATCCCTCAGATTATAACAGAACTCAGGTTTTATTATCAAACAGCTGCAGGTTTTTACTGAATCCACAAGTTCAAACAGAAACTTCAGGCTCTGCTCTGATGGTCCGTCTGGTGTCAGAGTCCTGATGGATGGACGGGTGGGGGGGGGTCTTTAGAACTGATAACCCACCTTCCTGCCCCGCCCCACCCTAAACCAGATCCCTCCATCAGACTCAGAGAACCGAGGAGGAGTGAGGGGTTAAATTCCTCCGCTGGCTAAGAATTAAACACACACACTTCTCTGACTCAGAGGTCAAAGGGTCACCTGTTCAGGAAGAAGTTTGACCCTGATTTCTCCTGATTTCTCCTGATTTCTCCTGATTTCTCCTGATTTCTCCTCAGAGCTGATGGATGAGATGGCCGCCGAGGGCAGGGAGTGTGTGAACTGTGGCTCGGTGTCCACGCCGCTGTGGCGCCGCGACGGGACCGGACACTACCTGTGCAACGCCTGCGGCCTCTACCACAAGATGAACGGCATCAACCGGCCCCTCATCAAGCCCCAGAAACGCCTGGTAAGACCACCGAGGCGGCCATTTTAAGGGCCTCTAAGAGGGTTGGTGTATGAATAAATATATATACTGAACCTGAAGAAGAAAACTCCTGACCTGTGAGAAAGTTTTTGTTGATTAGCTAAAACAAGCCGAATCGCTAAAGGTTTATTTAAAACAAAATGGTTTTCTCTGATTAAATAAATATTTAATTTAAAGAAAAACATCAAAACATTCACTWAATGGTGACAAAGAATCAAATCTTACAGTTTTAGCGCAGATGTTTTTTTTGTTTTTTTTTCATTTCTAGACTTTTATTGTGAAAAACCTCTGCAAATGATGCAGAGTTGTTTGGAGGACGATGTTTCCCASGCAGGAACTGTCCTCTCCTCAGCAGCTGTGTTTGTTGTCTCTGTTTTAGTCTTTCTGTTTTTATTTGTCCCTCTCTGACCTTGTCCTTGATAACGGGGACGTCTTTAGACAAGGTCCTCTACTTTTTTTTCCTGCTGCGTCAGATCCGCAGCAAACTGAGCTGCTTCTCACGACAGAAATTTTCTGATTCAGTCGTATATGTGTTTATTTTCACRGTTCTGAGCAGCAGACCACGTCCCGCCGCGCCGGTCTGTGCTGCACCAACTGCCACACCAGCACCACCACGCTGTGGAGGCGCAACGCCGAGGGAGAGCCCGTCTGCAACGCCTGCGGCCTCTACATGAAGCTGCACGGGGTGAGTCACAGCGAGGGTCGGGGTGAGTCACAGGGGGGGTCGCGGAGAGTCACAGGGGGGGTTGCGGTGAGTCACAGCAGGGGTCAGGTTGAGTCACAGCGAGGGTCAGGGTGAGTCACAGTGGGGATCGGGGTGAGTCACAGCGAGGGCCGGGGTGAGTCACAGCGAGGGTCGGGGAGAGTCACAGCAGGGGTCAGGGTGAGTCACAGTGGGTATCGGGGTGAGTCACAGCGAGGGTCGGGGTGAGTCACAGCAGGGGTCAGGGTGAGTCACAGCAAGGGTCAGGGTGAGTCACAGTGGGGATCGGGGTGAGTCACAGCGAGGGCCGGGGTGAGTCACAGCGAGGGTCGGGGAGAGTCACAGCAGGGGTCAGGGTGAGTCACAGTGGGTATCGGGGTGAGTCACAGCGAGGGTCGGGGAGAGTCACAGCAGGGGTCAGGGTGAGTCACAGTGGGTATCGGGGTGAGTCACAGCGAGGGTCGGGGTGAGTCACAGCAGGGGTCAGGGTGAGTCAGTGGGGATCGGGGTGAGTCACAGCGAGGGTCGCGGTGAGTCACAGCAAGGGTCAGGGTGAGTCACAGTGGGGATCGGGGTGAGTCACAGCGAGGGCCGGGGTGAGTCACAGCAGGGGTCAGGGTGAGTCACAGTGGGGATCGGGGTGAGTCACAGCGAGGGTCGGGGTGAGTCACAGCAGGGGTCAGGGTGAGTCACAGTGGGGATCGGGGTGAGTCACAGCGAGGGTCGGGGTGAGTCACAGCAGGGGTCGGGGTGAGTCACAGCAAGGGTCAGGGTGAGTCACAGTGGGGATCGGGGTG